TAAAGTACTTCTATCTGAAACCTAAACCATGAACCAGGTAGAATTTTAGAAATACCCTTATAGAACTCATCAAGATGTTTCATTAAAGTAAACCCAGGACATTTTGCATGCTCTTAATTTGAAGAACTTGGTTTGTCAGTTGTTTAAATCTGTTTAATAGCTTTAAAAATATTTTTTACATTGCCCTATTGAGTTAAACAAGTTTAGTTTACTTCAAATAGGTATGATTTTTTTATTTAAAAATATTGTTTAAATATAGTTTTCTTAGTTCTCTATAATTTAAATCTTTGGTGAGTCTGTATATTTTTGTTTAAATTGTCATCAGTAATCATTTCTGACCTAATATTTTGCATGATTAGCCCAAATATATTTGGGTTTTGACTTGTGCTTATTTAGTTTTAGATATAACTAAATTCCTTCTCTCTGAAGATGATGCATGTGCCATTCATTGTTGAAAACTGAAATTTATGCATTGAGTTAAATGTGTGTTGTCGATATGTGACTTGTTTTTGGAATATGTAATGTTTTTTAAACTGGTTTTGTTGAGATATAATTTACATGTAAGATGAAATTTTAAGTGTATAATTTAAAATCAGCTCAGGTATAACTTACATTAAAATTCACTAATTTTAAGTGTTCCATTTGATGAGTTTTAAAATAACTATTGAGATATAATTTACATTACATAAAATTCATGTTTTCTGGGTACATTTTGAGTTTTACTAAATTTATATCATCATGCAGATATCACTGAAATCTAATTTTATTATACTTCCATCACCTAAAAAAATTCTCTCATGTCCTTTTGTAGTCAGTGTCTGCCCCCACCCCACTTTGCTAGTTTTGCTTTTCCTAGAATTTTCATATATACTCTTGCATCTGACATGTTTTTGAGGCTATCCATGTTGTTGCCTGTATGAGTAGTTCATTCTTTTTTGTTATTAAATAGTATTCTATGATTATCTATTCAGCTGAAGGATATTTAGATTGTGTCCAATTTTAGGTTAATAATGCTTCTATGAATATTTCCATTCAAGTCTTCCTGATTTTTACAAATAATATGTTTTTATTTTTCTTGCATGGTATAGCTAGGTTATATCATGTATATGTTTAACTTTTTAAGAAACTGCAAACTGACTCGTTTTATATTTTCAGTGGTATTGTTTGAGGGTTTCACTTTCTCTATATCCTCTCCAGTGCTTAGTATTGTCTGTCTTTTTAATTTTAGCCATGTGTTTTTAATAGTATTTCATTGTTTTTTAATAGCTTTATTGAGGTGCAATCCAGATACCATATAATTCATCCATTTCACGTGTACAATTCAGTGGCTTTTAGTATATTCAGAGTCGTGCAGCCATCACAATTAATTTTAAAACATTTTCATCACCTCCCAAAACCTACCCCTCTTAGCCATAATTCCCCCCCACACACAGCCGCAGCACTGGACAACCACTAATCTACTTTCTGTCTGTAGATCTACCTATTCTGGACATTTCATAGATGGCATCTATACAGTCTGTGGTCCTTTGTGACTGGCTTCTTTCAATTCCATTTTCAAGGTTCATCAGTGTTGTATGTATCAGTACTTTATTTCTTTTTATTGCCCAGTAATATTTCATTATGGATATACCGCATTTTATTTATTCATTCATATCAGTTGATGGACATTTGGATTTCTTCCCAATTTTGGGCTATTACGAATAGTGCTGCTATGAACATTTTTGTGCAAGTTTTTGTATTACATATGCTTTTATTTCTCTTGGGTATATATTGAGGCATAGAATTGCTGGAATATGTGATAACTCTATGGTTAGCCTTTTGAGAAATTGCCAGACTGTTTTCTACTGTGGCTGTAGCATTTGACATTCCCAACCACAGTGTTTGAGGGTTCCAGTTTCTCTACATCCTCATCAGCACTTAATGTGTCAATTTGTATCTAGCCATCCTAGTAGATGTTAAGTGGTATCTCGCTGTTTGTTTTTGAGGTATAATTGACATACAACATTACATTAGTTTCAGGAATACAACTTAATGATTTGACATTCGTATACATTTCAAAATGATCACCACAATAAGTCTGGTTACCATCTGTCCCCATACAGTTATAAAATTTGCATATGTTGAAGACTTTTAAGATTGACTTTCTTAGGAACTTTCAAATTTATGATATATTATTGTTGATTATAGTAACCATGCTGCATATAATATCCCCATAACTTATCCATTTTATATTTGAAAGTTTGTACCTCTTTATCTCCTGCACTCATTTGCCCTCTCCACAACCCTCCTATCCTCTGGCAACTGTGAATCTGTTCTCTGTATCTATGAGTTTTGTTTTGTTCTGTTTGTTTGCTGTTTTTTTTGTTGTTGTTGTTAAGATTCCACATATAAGTGAAATTGCATAGCATTTATCTTTCTATGTCTGACTTATTTCACTTAGCATAATCCCCTCAAGGTCCATCCACGTTACTGTAAATGGCAAGATTTTTTTTTAATGGTAGAATAGTATTCCATTGTGTGTGTGGCATCACATTTTTTTATCCACTCATCCATTGATAGACATATTTAGGTTGTTTTGTACATCTTGACTCTTGAAAATAATGCAGTTAACATAGGAGTGCATATCTTTTTGAATTAGTGTTTTTGTTTTCTTTGGATAAATACCCAAAAGTAGAATCGCTGGATGATGATATAGTTCTATTTTTAATTTTTTGAAGACCTTCCATACTATTTTCCATAATGGCTGTACCAATTTGCATTCTCACCAACAATGCATGAGGGTTCCTTTTTCTTTACATGCTCACCAGCACTTATTTCTTGTCCTTTTGATAAAACCATTCTGACAGGTGTCATTTTGGTTTTGATTTTCTTTTCTCTGATGGCTAATAATGTTGAATATCCTTTTGTGTGCTTTTTAAAGGCTATTTGTTTATCTTTTTTGGAGAACTGTGTTCAGGTCCTCTTCCCATTTTTAAATCAGACTATTCATCTTTTTATTATAGAAGTGTAAGAGTTTGTTATATGTTCAAGATATAAGTCCCTTATCAGATATGATTTGCAAAAGTTTTCTGTGGGTTATCTTTTCATTTTCTTGATGGTGTCCTTTAAAGCACAAAGTTTTTAATTTTGATGTCTAATTTATCTATTTTTGTTGTTGCTTGTGCTTTTGATGTCCTATCTTGAGAAACCATTGCCTAATCCAAGGTCATGAAGATTTACACCTATGTTTTCTTCTAAGAGTTTTATAGTTTTAGTTCTTACATTTGTGTCTTTGATCCATATGGAGTTCATTTTTGTATGTGATATGAGGTAAGAGTCTAGCCTCATTCTTTCACATTTGGATATCTAGTTGTCCTACCACCATTTGTTGAAGACACTGTTTTTTTTCCCCTTCATGTAATTGTCTTGGCATTCTTTTAATAATTCAGTTGCCTATAAATGCGAGGGTTTATTTCTGGACTTTCAATTCTATTCCACGGATTTCTATTTATGCCGCTATCTCTCTGTGGTTTTAATTTGCATTTCCTGAATGATTAATAACGTTGAGTATCTTTTCAAATGATTATTTTTGCCATTTGTGTATCTTGTTTGGTAAAGTGGTCAAATGTCTTGCATTATTTTTAAAAATTGGATTGTTTGACTTCAGTCATAAGTAGTTACAGCAGGCATGTATTTTGCAAAAATATTCCTCCCACACATTTTTTTTAGCTTTGTCTTTCCATTTTCTTAAGTTTCTTTTAGTGGCATAATTTGGGGTGGTGTATTCTGCTACCATTCAGTGGATTCTAAAAGCTTGGCAACTGATGGACTAATAGGAAGATAAAGGTCTTGGAGATGGTGGTATAATTAACAATAGTAGGGAAGAAGATGAGGTCAGTTTGGGATACAGATGGTCCCCTACTTATGATTGTTCGACTTATGATTTTTCAGCTTTACAATGCTGCAAAAGTGATATACACATAGTAGAAACTGTACTTTGAATTTTGATTTTTTCCCCAGGCTAACAATATATTTCAGAATTATACTCCCTTGTGTTGGTCATCAGTGGCAGTGAGCCGCAGATCACAGCCAGCCATGTGGTCATGAGGATAAACACCTGATTCTCTACAGTGTAGTAGTAAATTCATTTTCAACCTATGGTGGGTTTATCAGTATGTAACCCCATCATAAGCCAAGAAGTATCTGTATATTGAAATTGAGATTCCTGGTGATATCCATATAGAAATGTACTTTTTGTTTCTTCGGTCTAGAACCCTTTATTTCTGGATCTTCCCTCAGATCTTTTTTTTTTGGTCATTCAAGTCTCAAATATCAGTTCAAATATCACCTCCTAACATAGGGCTTCCCTAACCATCATATCTAATGTTGCCACTTCCAAACATCACTGTCTGTTATATTTTCCTTTTTCTTTCTATATATCCCTCCGAAATCATCTTATTGTGTGTTTGTTTTTTTTATTATCTGTTACTCTGCCAGAATGTAAGCTCCATTAGGACAGGATCTTCTTCTGTCTTGGTCTCCAGTATAACATGACCTTTTCCCCTCTGAATTGGTTGTGGTTCTTATCTGTCAAATTCTTTTTGGATTCTAAACTTCTCATTTCCTTGGCATCATAAACTATTCATAATGTTTAAAATTAATCCAAAAATTGTAGTTAAAACAAAGAAAGAAAAAAGAAACTGCATTTCTATTTGAACCTTAACCTAGAAGTCAAGACATAGCATTAAAAATAATCTGCAAAAAGATCTTATCCTTTTTAAAAAGCTTTTAAACCAATTATGTTTACCTCTTTCTCAACACTAATTTCAGGTAATTTGTATTGATTTTAATTGATATCCATTAGAGATGGGGGGGTGTATTTTTACTACTTCATACTAACAAATCCTCGCCACCTGCAAACAGATTTGGATATCATATTGAATTAACCTTTCTCTCCCATTTTCTCCCTGTAAAAAACACTGTAGACTTTCATACTTGGTTGTCTCTTTTCTGTTTTACAGAGTAAGAAAGTTAGCCTGAGTTCTTGAAAAACCAGAGAAGACAAACTAAGAGGATAGTAGACAAAGTCTTTCCAATTTACATAATGTAAGTTCTTTTCACTATTCTTGGCCTGAATCTTGTGTTAGCTGACAAAGCTGTTTCTATGGGAACAAATAGTCCAACTTCTTAGAATGTCAGAGGAATGCTGATCATTTAAAATGAGACTTCCCAGCTGCTGCTCAAAAGACATCACTTGTGGGAGAAGGGGAGGAAGGATGTACTGAAAAAAAAAATCTAGAGTTCTGGACACTAGCATAGACCAGTCATGTTTATGCATATGAAGTATATGTTTTACAGATTCCTCTGTCTAAAAATTAGAATTCTGATTATATAAGAAGTTGTTTTCCTGGAAACCTGTCATGTTCCCAGCTCTCTCACACTAATGGTTCTGTTTCTTGGTGTGGAGTTTTCAGTCGGCCTCTATTCCTCAAGCTGTTTCAGTCCACCCCTACCTGGCCCCCCTGCTCCCATTCTTAATCATTTGTACTATCGAAGCTTATTTAGCTTCATTTTACTCCCTTTTCCTATAGCCAGTTCACATAGACAAAGCCCTTTCCACCCCACTAGTTTGAAGTTAGCATTGAAACAGCTTTGGCCTGCCTACCTGAAAATTCATTTTCTTGTGGACTATGTAAAGAGTTTTGATTGATTCTTTTTTTTTAATTTATTTATTTTTTTCCCATTGGTGAGGGGTATGATCTGGGACTCTGATGAGGATTTGAAATGTGAGTTTTTGAGGCATTTTAAAAACAATTTATTTACAATTAGAGGATTGAGAAGAGAGGAATACTCTTAGGGTCAGCAACATTTAACAATATTATTTGCATAAGGTGGTCTTTTATTTACATATTTACTAAACTAGAGATAATTCTCTAGTCGTTTACCAGCTTCTGAATTGTTGAAGGACTTTTTTCTCTCTCTTTTTTTTTTTTTTTTTTGTTTGTTTTTTGGAGAGGGAGAATATAATTCTTTTGGACTGGGACTCTTGATATGTATTGATTACCTATATGAGCTAGAGTACTCATGATTTGCCTGTTTAAAAATTATGATGATCTTAGTGCTAAAACCGTAGGACACAGCATAAAGTTTCTGATTTTGGAAAAACTTTTTTAATCTTTCATGGCCCTCATGAATTAACTTGTGAGCCTTATCTTTTGGAGCATTGCATGGTTTTTTAACCGAAGTGGTCTGGAAAAAACTTCTTGAAGGAATGGGGACTTGCGATAGTTCTTGAACATAAAGGAGGAAAAGAGAAGCAGTTCATATTTCTTAGGGCATTGAGCAAGAAGAAAAAACATATCGGATAGGTACAAACAAGAAAGCTGACTTAGAAAGCTAGTACAGGTAAGTAATAAAAGATGCAGTTATAAAGTTTGGATTTACCTCATGAGTTTGGATCCATTTTCCAGGCAATATGAAAGCCATTAGAGATTTTAAACAGGAGTGATTTGCTCATATACTTAATTAAGCATTTATCTCTTACTTGATATCAGGGCCATAGAGATGTGTAAGACAGATCCTGCTGATTAGACTATTACCTGTGGGACCATTCATGTGTCCCAAACTAAACCCATGTAATTTCTCACCTCTTCTATCTAATTCTCCTTCTTCTGTATTCTCCATTTTAATGACTTGGCCGTCTACCTGCTGACCCAAAGACAGTGGCCCTGGAGTCACACTGCCTGGGTTCATATTCTGAAGTGTCCTGTCTGCTTGGCCCTGTGCTGGGCAATGTCACAGATCCAGACATGAGTTGGCCTGGTTCCTGGCCTCCAAAGGCTTCTAGTCTGCAAACAGACAGAGACAAGTAGTTATAGTCCAGTTTGATAGATGTGACAGGGATTGTGGGATTCCAGTGGGAGCACTTACCTAGTTTGAAGAGTCATGGAAATCCAGAATATATTTGAGCTGAGACTTAAAAGGAGAGGAGGCAAGGATTAGAGTCTGGGCAGTCTGATTCTGGAGCCCGTTCTCTTAAATATTCTGTTGTCTTGGGTAACTGGGTAGATAATAGTGGCATTAAGTAGGATTGAGAATGGAGAAAGAGGCTCAAGGAGAATATGAGGGGATTAAAGGGAAATATGAGTTTAATGGTAGGCATATTAATTTCTAGATGCCTGTAGGACATTTTGGTACATGGACTAATAGGCAGAAATCCTGTCTCTATAATCCTAGTACCTAGCCAGGGGTAAATGCTTAATTAAATTTATGTATAAATCATCGCTCTTTTCTAATGTTTGATGGTTTTCCTGCTGCCTTGAGAATTAAAGACTTACATTTAAGACCTTTCATAAGTTGGACCCAAACTTTCTAGCTACTGTCCTATTGTACAAGCTGACTTCACTGTTCTCTTACACACATTGACTGCTTTAGTTCAACTAGCCCTATTTGTACTTTCCCACTCCATTTATCTCCCTGCCTTTTGGTTCATACTGCCTCTTCCTTATTCCTCCATTCTATCTTCAGGGCCTTCACTCCTCATTCCTCATCTACAGAATAAGCATATTGAATGTATTCTCCCTCTGCAAAGAAAAGAAGGTCTTTTGACAATTCAGAAGTTGGTAAATGACTGAACTAGAGAATTACCTCCTTTTATGTAAATAAAAGACTACCTTATGCAGAATTAAATGAGGGTTAAATGAATAAATGTTTAAAGTGCTCAGTAAATGTAACAATTACTACTTCTACTTCTACCACTATTACTACTACTACCTTTTTCTCCTCTTCCTCTCCTCTTCTTGCCCTATTATATGCTACAGACACCAAGTTCTAGTATTTCTATAACCAGTGTATTTCTTTAATATAACTTCTTCATTTCACTGTCTACACAGTTCAGGATCCCATTTCTTACAGTTGCCTTAAACTGGTCTCATTGCCACCCTCAGTCAGTCTTCTACACTTATTCCAGAGTGTATTTCTCTCAAAGTGAAGGTGATCATGTCATCCGTTGCTTTAAGTCCTGTAATGATTCTTACTACTTTGAGGATAAAGGTCACAGTCTTTAGCTGTTAAACTCTTCTCAGTCTGGTGTCCTGCTGGCCTTTCCAGTTTATCCTTACTCACGTATGACATGCTGTCATCGTCCCATCCAGTCTTAATTGCGTTCTAGTCTATTTTTTTGAAAGAGTAGTACTCTCATACTCTTCCTTTTTATTGATCATGTGGTTCCCTCTGCCTGGAACAGACTCTTCTGTTTGGCTAATATTTCATTCTTTGAAATGCTTTTCAAAGAAATTCATCTTTATATTTTTAGTGTTTGTTACGACTCCTTACCACAGACTAAGCTTTAGAGTCCATCGTCTGTGCATCCTCTATGAATTTATGACATTTCTAAGTTTAGATGAACAAATATTTCATGTATATTTCTATATTATATGTATTGTGTTAAGTACTGGGGGCTACGAATATCCGACATTACCCCTGTCTTTAACAAGTTTAGATTCTAAGGAGGAGAAACCAACTGGGGAAGCATGATCTCTCTTTTTTCTTTTCTTTCTTTTTTTTTGCTGTCTTTCCCAGTAGACTGTGAACACTCCAAGGGAGATGACCAAAATGGAATTTTAAGCAGATTAATATCAAGTTGCAGAAATTTTTCTGAGGGTAAAAGACTATATCCAGCTAGACAAGCATGATAGTAATCCAAGCATGAGAACTCTTACCCAGATTGCCTGGCCTAGACTCTCTTACATGATCTATAATCCACCCCCCCACCCCCAAAGATCTAGTATAGTGAATATGGACATAGCCTTACAGTTGTTAAGCTGACAGTTTTAATTTCAAGTCATAATGTTTTTAGACTATCATCTCAAGTAAAACATACATTATTCATTATTAAATTTGATTTTTAGTATTCAGTAAATATTCCAGATAAACAAAATTGAGAGTTTTAATTCATGGAAATATATACACTCCTAGACTTTTACAATTAAAATTAAGCACAGCACTGCAGTAACTCCTACACAAATTTCTGTTTACTTGTAATGAAAATATCAAATAAGCTGACTTTGCTTTGCATATTATTAATATATAAACTTAAGAATTGCCTAATACCATTCTAATAGCTGTTATTTTAATGAAAAAAGAAGGCAGTCTAATGATAAATAAGATATTAATGTGTAGCTCACATAGTTATAAATAAAGAAAGAAGCTAAGATTTGGATAGAAGACAGAAAAATCTCCCAAAATTCTTGCAAAATGTAATTCTAGTGGCTTATGTAGCTTGCATCTATTCATTTCCCTGATTGTTGGTCTAGTGGCTTTTTTAGTCTAGGTGGGTTTGTGTTAAGTAGTCTGTGACAAGATGTTTGTTTGAGAGAAGATTGGCTGGTATTAGGAATGTTATTTGAAAACTCAGCTTTTGCTTAGTTGGCATGTGCTCTAACCTATTTTTTGAAAGGATGCTCAACTCAAGGAGGTAGTAGGATTATTATTGTAAATATTTTTAAAGTCTTGAGTAAAAGAAGACTAATTAGATTTAATGTGTGGGTTTTCACATATATAAACAATCTGCCTTTTTTTGTCTAAAATATGTTGAAGGATTTTTAAACTATGAGAATCAAATTATTACTAAAAATTAACATAAATATATATTTTTAATCTTAAAACTTGCATACATTATCTCATTCAAAACTTAGAACAGTCCTATGAATACATTTTCAAAGGAATCTAAGACAAGAGAGAAACTGACTCATCTTAAATCATAAAGCTAGAGGAAGTGTCACAACCAGAATTCATATTCAGTTTTCTGGTCTCCAAGTATAATATATTCTTATTTACTTACAGTATAATTTAAAGATTTTTTGGACTGGTAACAGTTACCATTTTCTCTGAATGAATCCTCATAAAGAATTAACCTTAATTCTTTTGTTCACGTGACCAGTTATAGAGACTGATAACCCACGTAGTCTTTTTCTCACTTAATGTAGTTTTATCCTGTAAATGCCTTAGCTGCTAATTAAAATTTCTTTGTTATTGAGTATCTTCTTCATCTTATAAATTCCTGATGTTAATTGTTCTGAGAATACTAACTTTACCTCAAGTGAGCCACCAACATAGCATGCATGCTATGTGCCAGTTTCTTTAGCGGTTAACTAGGAAGTTATTTCAATATCATTTATATTGAGTGTACTGTACAAAGATGATTAAAACATCTTTATATCATAAGCAACCTGTTCTCTACTAAACTAGTAGGCAGAACTTTCCTACTTTCCCACTTTGCTAAACTTGCCAATATTTCATTTTTCTCTAGCTATAAAATAACAGTATGCTCCCATTTCTTGGGAGGGGACCTTTTTTTTGGCAGGGGCCGGGGAGGGCACCTTGATTTCCTTAGCATTATCTCTAAAATGAAAGGAAAGTACTTAACCTGTACAGCAAAATAATAATACATACTTATGGGATATTCTGTATTGTATAGAGATTAGAAATGGGCTATGTAAAATTTTTTATATTGTAATTCTTATACTTTTTTCCCCCCCATCTTTCCCCTTAGATTTCCTTCATGGATACATTTTCATAGCATTATTATATGATGTAAGAAGTTTTGTGTTTTTTTTTGAAGTAACATGGATTTTATACTACAGAATCAAGATATTGGCTTTATAGGAAAAATTGATTTATAAAAGTGGTTCAGGTTTTTATAGATAACCATGACAACATCCCATATGAATGGGCATGTTACTGAGGAATCAGACAGCGAAGTAAAAAATGTTGGTCTTGCATCACCAGAGGAACACCAGAAGCACCGAGAGATGGCTGTTGACTGCCCTGGAGATTTGGGCACCAGAATGATGCCAGTCCGGCGAAGTGCACAGTTGGAGCGTATTCGGCAGCAACAGGAGGACATGAGGCGTAGGCGAGAAGAAGAAGGGAAAAAACAAGAACTCGACCTTAATTCTTCTATGAGACTTAAGAAACTAGCCCAAATTCCTCCAAAAACTGGAATAGATAACCCTATATTTGATACAGAGGAAGGCATTGTCTTAGAAAGTCCTCATTATGCTGTGAAAATACTAGGTAAGTTAAAACAGTAGAATAGTAGAAAATGTTTTGCTTTTATTTCTCTTTCCTTAACATAAATGTATATAGGAAGGAAGAGGGGTATAAGAGAATATAAATACCAGCATTTTGAATTCAAACCAGGATCATTTCTTTTCTTGGAAAGGCCTTATAACCATCATTGTTTGCTGCTAACCATGTAGAGCTAAAGCATTAATGTTCCAATCTCTACAATATGATTTTTAGATGTAGTCTTGGAATTAAAAATTTCTACATGCGGCCTAACATTTAAAGCCTTGAAATTCACCTTTTATTTGAAGCTCAACCTTTTATCTCAAAATTATTCAAAAACAGTTTTCAGATTTTGAATTTCTGATTTCATTAAGGTTTGTAAATAGTAGTAATATCTGTAGCTTAAAATCTATTTGATTTTCTTTAATGTCATTAAAAAGAAATGGTGCTGTTTATATGACATCATATACATAAAACATGGCTCAAAATTCCCTATACTATTTATTCTCACTTCCATTCTGTGGGGGAAAAAAAAAACAACCCAAAAAACTAGTGCTATGAGATTTTAATAGATATAAACCAAAAATAAAGTTCTGTGATCAAATACATTTTGAGTATAGTGGGTTATGTAAGTTAAACAGCTTCTTATTATAGGACTTCTCAGAGTCTTTAGAATTCTAATAGACATTATGAATCTATAATAGAGATTAATGTCAAATGTAAATTTCCAAACAGAATATTTGATCATTGAATTCACTGCCCTTTCGTCCTGCACACACACAGGAGTGATCACTAAACTAATATTAGGAGTGTACGTTAATTTATGTTCCCATAAAACTAGACTAACTCAGTAGAAGTATTTTATTTCTTGGCAGTTAATTTTTATAGGTGTGAAAAGAGAGAAACCTCCACTTTTCTGTGGAAGGAGAGAGTTTTTGTTATTTTTGCCATTCATTTGTCTATTGAGCTCAGTACTAGGTGCTACAGCAAACACCATTCTATGTACTATCCACAATAATCCTATTAATAGGGCTCTATAATCTCCATTTTCAAGATAAAGAAATTGAACCTCAGTTAAATCTCTTGTTTAAGACTCCAGTCTAATAAGTGGTAGAGCCAAGTTTGAATTTGCCTAGTCTGGATATGCAGTTGGTATACTATACAGAGCAGGATTTAAGTGGAAACTGACATCTAACTTGTTCTTTACTCACTGGACCAGAGCTCTGGCTACCAAGAATGTAACACCTTTATTTGCACCTCACTAAGCCTATATTCTAAGTCTCAAGCAGCTTCTACTACTTCACATCATCTGCTTTTTTTTTAATACATTTATCAAGGATCCACATTTCTTGACAGAAAGAGCAATGTACATGCTTCTCTAGTGTTTTAAGAAATCAAAGACGTGTTCAGTGATAATGATGTCTGCCAAATGCCTTCAGATGTTATAGTGAAGGGGAAAAGATTACATATTTTTTTACAGCTTTATTGAAATGTAATAGACAGTTTCTCATATTTACATTGTATAGTCAATGAGTTTTTTTCAGTTACAGTTGGCATACAATAATATATTTCAGTTGTACAGCATAGTGAAGATTACATATTTTTCATACATTTATTTGAAGGAATTTTATGCTTTTTTTTCCTGAGAGTTTTGTTAGACTAAAAATATTTTATTCCCAGCTGCCTCTTACTGGCCCTCATCTTCTACCACCTCATTTTTTTTTAAATTAAAATATTCTGTAAATATTCTCTGTGACTTGGAAAAAGTTTACATTATACTGTATCCATCCCAAGCCTGAATGATTCTTCTGTTATTCTGTTTAAATTTCTTTAAGATTAATGTATTTGTTTATTTGCTTTACTTATATCAGGCATAAATGTTCATATAATAGGTAAGATTTACATAATCAAAATAAGGAAACAAATATAGCTTAAGCCAGATTCACATAGGGAATATATAAGCATGGAAAATTGGAGACCATTTCTCTTAAATATTTTGCCTTTTCTTATTTCTGTTTTTTTGTCGAGTGGCAAACTTATCTAACAAATATAGGTTAAAGGACAGCTATATATTTTTCCAACTTGCAATCCGCTGTAGTTTGCAAAAATACTTTTTTGCAATCCTTGAACTTAAAGCTGTTTTACATATTTCATTTTAAAGTAATTTGAAATGTACCAGGTATCTGTAATTCATTTTTTGGATAAGAGAATATTTAATGTTGAGAAATAAGTGATAGATTTAATGTTAATACACGTAACACAAATGTGTTGATTGTAGGAAACATGGAAAGTTAGTGTAAGTTATAAAGTTGTTATTGTCAGTCAAAGCTTCAGTTTTTGGATATACTCAGTTGTAAGTTTTCCTTTTAAAATGAAATTTGATAGCTTTGTACCAAACATCTTTTTCCCTGTCATAATTTGCCAACAAATCATATTATGAAGGAAGTACTCCCTTAAAGTTGTATGTGTCTCCCTGCCAGTATTGTAATACACACATGCCGGGAGACAACTTCTCAGCCTTTTTCACAGCCAGAAACAGCAACCTTGTTTTAAATGAGGAAAGGATGAGAAAAAAGATTTATTTCTTTCAGAGGGAGACTTCAGTTTCCAAATGATACATCATCATTTATCTGTGAGTAGAGAAAATATTCTTTTAAGAATTAAAAATGTGATTAGAAAGGTTAGATACTTTAATTGTCTGGGTGCTTTTTAATGAAAGTATTTATAAATTTGGTACCGTATAGTAATAACAGTGCAGGTAGGGAATTGATAGAAAATATTTAGAAAGGATGAACTGAACTTTCTTGTTTAAAAGCAGTCAGAACCTTATTGAAAACTAGAAAATGGGAAAAAAAATAAAACTAGAAAATAGTGATGTGGGAACTTAATTCCAAATGAATAATTGATATTAGTATTATAAATTATAAGAATTTTGATATATTAGGGAAGCTTTCCTTAAAATTGACATGAATTATTAAAACTTGCTTTGCTACAAATAAAATGTCATTGTCTAGTTCTCTTTCATAAGCAAAGCAAACTACTTTGTGAGAGAAATCTAGAGAAAAGAACAGAATGCAGATTAAAATGGGATGAGAGAGAATAGGATCATTTTCAGTTATCTCTAGATTATAGATTTCACTGTTTTGGTTTTTGTATTCACAGATAAGTAATTTGAGGCCACAGTTGTGGACAGCTAAATATAGTCAACAGACTATTTAAAGGGAATATACTCAGAAACACTGCAATCTATCATATACGTGACTATATGATAGTTGCATCTTTAAAAGGACTTTAGGACAGGTGCACCCACACCCATGATAAGCATTCTGTTATGTGTTTTAATAAGGAGACTCCTGAAAGTTGTGATGAGGGGCTTTCTGATTTACACTAGATGAGATTAGTGTGAAGAAAAAAGTAAAAAAGATACACCAAGAGCAAGAAAACTATGATGAATAAAATATTTTTATAATATTAATGATAGCATGTTTCAATCTTGATTAGTGTCTCCATATTTTTTTGCCAGATGTCTCTGGCAAAAATATTCAAACTATTAAATCAAGAGTACTTCTGTATTTGATGTTGTAAAGTAAAATATCTCTCTATATTTCTGACAGTATTTGACTTTTGATTGACCATGGGATATTCTGGAATATTGCCGAATTGTGATGAACTTAATTTTAAGATTGGCTTTTAAAATAAAATTCATTTAAAGACAACAGACAAAATTCCAGTGCCAATAAACCTTGAGGTCAGCCTACTTCTGAGAAATTAATTATTCTTGCTAGTAAATTTATGCTCAATTGCTATAGATAGTTCCAGACTTTATTAGCCATTCTTTAAGGGACTTTTTTTCCAGAAGTGAACTTATTAGAACTATTGGTACTAAGTTTAATGTTTAAAATGTTGACACCATTTAAAAGTTTCCTGATTTGTTATGATTGCTAAAATTAGAGCTAACCTAAAATAAGATTTTAAAAATTCTTTAGAATATGGGTATCTATGTAATATTTGGTTGTTAAATATTCCGAATTCTACTGAAAAATAATTGCTATACCATTCAGCCTTTGACACAATGCCATTCCACCTATTAAGTAATAATACGTTTTAACTTTTTTCCTCTTGCAAAGAGTTGCATCATTATGTTATGATATGTTCAGAAATGCATGCGATCATTGCGTATTTACTAGTGCAGGGTATCTGGAGTCAGATGTAGAGTTTAAATACTTTTTATCTTCACTTAATTGCTGTTGACCTTAGACGAATTACTTTTTAGGATTTTCTTGAGGACCAAGAGAGAAAATGACTTTTTAAGCATGTGACACAGTGTAGGTTCACTAAAATCTAACTTTTGTAAGAACCAGAAGCCTCCAGAGAGATCATCTAATTTTCTTGTCTGTGAAATTAATTTGTGGATCTTAAACAGTAATTTTTTATTTTATTTTTAAAAATAAGTTTAATTAAGATATAACTATTTTAAAGTATACAGTTCATGAGTATTTAGTATATTCACAAAATTGTGCAACAGTCAGCATTGTATAATTCCAGAGTACTTTTGTTAACCCAAAAAGAAAAATTATACCCATTAGAAATCACTTCATATTCTCCCCTCCCCCTAACCCCTTACAACCCTAATCCACCTTCTGTCTGTGAATTTGTTTGTTCAGGGCATTCTTATAACAGAATCATACAGTATGTGACCTTTTGTGACTGGCTTTTTTTCCACATAGCATAATGTTTTAAAGGTTTATCCACACTGTAGCATGAAGCAGTTTTTCATTACCTTTTATGGCTGGATAATAGTCCATTGTAGGGATATACCACATTTTGTTTATTCATCTCTTGATGGAACATTTGGATTGTTTCTACCTTTTGGCTAGTATTGTTAGGAATAGTACTGTTATGAAATTTATGTATAAGTTTTTGTTTGAACACCTGTTTTTAATTCTTTTGGATATATAATTAGGAATAGAATTGCTGGGTCACATGGTAATTCTGTGTTTAACTTA